TCTCTCTCTCTCTTTTGTGGAACCGAGGATTGAACTCAGGCCCTTGCGCTTGCCACGCAAGTGCTCATTCTACTGAGCCATCTCCCTGGCCCCTGGAATTTCTCAAAAACTGTTCAACACATTAGAAAATTCTCTTTGGAGAAGTTAGAATGCTGAAAAATCCCTCCCTCAGTTTCAATGCATCCTTATCTTTTAATGCATTTATCTCCTTATTAACTTATATCACCATCCTCTTAAAAGTTGAGTTTTTCTTCTAGTGTAAATTAAATTAATAATGAAATTAGAAAGTGTTGGTCAACCATATCAGTCATTGGAGAGAGATACAGAAATTAGTAGAAGATTGAATGACGTAAACTAATGACAGAAGATCACTTGGGATGATCTGTCTATAAAGCAAAACTTTATTCAGATCTGCAGGGATGGGTGTACTTAAATGTCTGTGGACATCTCTAAAACTCTTTGGAAATTATTGAAAATATGAAAGGCTGCACTGTAGCTAATGTGTGAAGCTGAAGCATTTTTTGAAAGTCTTAAGCTATATTGTCATTCTAATTAATCATTTAAGTGAGGTCTTTTTATTATAAAGTTCCACTTTCCCTGATCCTCTGGGATGGAATGTGGTCACTGTTTGTAGTGAAAGCTGGCTTAAGTGTGACAACCATGGAGGCCATTGTACATTCCAACAGAAATGCCTGGCAAGCACAAGGGCCTGAGTTCAATCCCCAGTTCTTAAAAAACAAAAAACAAAAAACAAAAAACAAAAAAAGAAAAGAAATGGTTTTGCTGAAACTTAAACACTTCCTTGCTTAAGTTTTCATTTAGATTTCCAGTAATAACTGATTTCTAGCAAAGTATATCAAGCGTTCTAAAATCTTATAGTGCTCAGAAAATATGGACAACTCAATTAAGGTTATACCTTCTAATGAATTAGTTGAACAAGTATTATAATTAGATATGCCCAGGCAACAAAATATGGGCTTTTGATACAACATCAAATACAGTGTTTTTTGTTTTGGTTTGTTTTGATATTCCCTAAAGCTCACACAGAAATGTAAATTTTCCACTGTTTTATAGTTATCTTTACTATCACCTTGTGGAAGTTAGAGATTCCCTATTAGTGAGTGACCAAGATTTCAATTAGGGTAAAATGGGGCACCTTTCAGTAGGGGACCATAATGAAGCAAGGGGAAAAACTTTACTAAGATTTCTTAGCTCCTCTAAACTAAGAAATGGTATATCACTTTAGTGAGAAATCCCAGAAATCTTGTTAGGAAGAAGGTAAATGGCCTGACTTGTCTTTCTGAATATTTCCTTTAGTTCCTTCCTCCCATTCTTTGCACGGCTCTCAAAACAGCACTCTCACCCAAATGTAAAGTAATCCCCTGTAGGATGTTAGTTGATAACTTTAGGTTTTTACCACCACCTAGGGCATTTGCATTTTAATAGAAGGGTTTGAAAGAACTTTAAGCTTCAACTCTGAAAGCAATAAATCTCTATTGGTGGAATTTGAAGCAAGGTGATAGATTGAGCAAGAGATATCTGTGATGAAAGGAACCCACGGGCTCTATTCTAATCACAGCATGAGCTAAAGTGTCCCTACTTAGTAGCCTAACTTCTGCTTCCAGAGGAAAAGCTGTTAGGACAACTCCTGTGGCTTGAATAGTGAAACCCCCTGAACAGTTTCATTTTCTTTCAAAATTAAAGAGCTAAAAATTCAAGTATTTTAACTTCATGATTCCTTTTCCACTTCCTCTATGACATCTTACTGGAGATCTCCTGAAACCTTTCTTCCCCCCCACCACCATGGGGTTGGGGTTGAGAAGTATATTTGCCATTATATTTAGCTTCAAATTTCCAAACTTTGTGTCTTACTTTTTTTTTCTATCCTGGTAGTTTTTCGAATCACTTAAAATGATAAAATAGGATGTTTGAAGAATTTGGATGAAATGGCTTCATGGACTGTTTCATATTTATTTAAATAAATATAGTGAGCCAGATCCTAAGTTTAAAGAGACACATGCATATTTTATGCACCTCCTGGCATGTAACATTAAAGCAGAATAGATAAGCAAATTACTGCAATCGCTGTGCAGCCACCAGAGAGCTGTCCACTGCGTATTCATCATGGTGTTTCACAAGAGCACCAGAACTTGACGTGGTTGGTAAGAAGAAGGATTGCCATTCACTTAGTCAAGATGGGGACGAGGATACTTTGATGTAGAAGTATTTGAAAAGGAGACAACCATTATAAATGCTGTAGTGGGAGAACAAAGTAACTCCGAACATTGTTAAAAAAAATTTAAAAGGGCAAAACATAAGTGATAAATTAAAGAATAAAAACTTGAAATTGGAGAATTAGGTCTGGGCTCCTTTAGAGAGCTTGGTTCATGCCAGAGTACGAATTTAAAGAAAATAAAAACTATTAATTAATCAGATGTAAAATATTGGTCAAATTTGCAATTAGGGAAAATCCTTGAATCAGTACAGAATTGTCTACATTCTGGACTCCAAGCACTAGAATTGGACAAATTTGTATAAAGATGTTGGAAGACTTTGGAAATCTCTAATAGTGCTTCAAATAATGAAAGAGGTACATGGGCTGAGGATCAATCTCTGGGATGCTGTGCAGGCCCCACCCCTGGGGCATGCTGAGACAGGGACTGAGACTGGGCATGGCGGCAAACACCTATAATCCCAGCACTTGGGAAGCTGAAAACAGGAGACTCACTATGAGTCCAATCTACATACATAGCGAGACCCTGTTAAACCCTGTAGATTCTGTCCTAAATACAGAAAAAAAGAAAGAAAGAAATGAGGGACTGACCTATATGAAGGGGACATAGAAAGGAGAGTAGATTAAAGAAATGTGTTCACAGGGATGATATTTAAATGCAGGAGGGAGGGAAAAGAGACTGCTTAAGCCTGGATTTTTGTCTTAGTTAAGTAGGTGCCATTTTGCTGAAACAGGGAAAGAGGGATAGGTTTTAATGGGGCAGATGCTGATTTCAGATTTGGACAAGCTGAGTCTTAGATTATTACAGAATGTCTAAGCAGCAATGTCTAGTAAGAGGCATCAATCTGTCTGAGTCCCAAGAGGAAGATCTGGACTGTAAATGTATAGACAGCCACTAGTCTTAGTATCTCAGTGATGACAATAAAAGAGATCACTCAGGAAGAATAGAGATTATCAGAGGGCTGCTGATTGATTCCAAGTAAATAATAAGAATTAAAAACCCAACTGAAGGAGAACAATAATGTAGAATAAGTAGCTAGACCGATATTTCAGTTTAAGCAAGGAAATATCCATATTGACTAATGAAACACTCAAGAATTTCAGAACAATCTTCTTCCCTTCCTAAATCCTGGAGAATCTAGCCCTACGCAATAAGTGTGCCCATTCAATCTCTGTCCTTCCTGCTTCTTGTTTCATTTCATTTGAGATACTCTGTATATGCTTACACATTTCCAGGCTTTCATTCCTTTCTTATATCCCCACTGAAATGTATTTTTCTACTTTACTTTAACCACATCAGTTTCAGCCTCTGAATTTTCTTCTAAAGTTTCCACTGCCATCTCCCTTCCCCAAATATGGATGTATCCACATCCTGCCTAAGTTTCAGTCAGTCTACACACTGCAGATTTCATATGAGATTTGCACACTACAGTTTGCCTCATGAGTTTCGATGCACCACATTCTTTCCCTTTGGCAAAACTATGAGATCCTGAAGACTTAAGTGTTCATTCACCCAAATTGGCAGCCACAGAGTAGTGCGTTGAAAACAGCAGGTGCTTAGTAGGCTTTATTCAATGACCACATATGTTACTTACATAAACTAAAAGAGATAGGCTCTGGAATCCTCTGATAAGGCAAAGGATCTTAGCTGAAGCAAACATGGAAATCCTTCATCCTTCTGGAGGATGTATCTGACAGCTGTGATATATCTGTGTACATATTGACTAAATAAATGATGAGAGGTCACTTCAAAAAGGCACATTTATAACACAGAGCTCCAGAGTGGAAATATAGTGGTAGGGATGTTTCAAAAATTACTGATATATTATTGACATTATTTTCAAGTAAAGATAGTGAATACTTCTTTCTTCTTTTTTCTACTTTTATAATTTAGAAGACTCTTTTGTAAACGCTACTTAAAAGGCAAGTATTATGAAATACGATCATTTGGTACAACACTACTATTTATCCAAAAAATATATGTAAGATGCAATATTGGCAGTTTTTCAAAATTGTCCTAGAAATAGTCCCAATTTATTTTATATATTAGAAGTAAGGCAACTTAGTGGAGTTATTTGCTTAAATAGAATAAGGGTTAAATGATAACTTGACTTATCTTTTAAATGACAAAAAATAAAGAAATTGGAAGACCTTTTCACACATTAGATATGTATTGTCATTTATCATCTAGATATCAGGCTAGCAGTGCGGAGTAATAAAACATATCATCGAAAAATGTGCTATAGGTCTGAATCACTCTTTCATTCCACCTCCCAGCTAACTGTAGTATTAAATCAAACAAGCAGAACATTTCCTTAGGCAGCCATTGCCTTTTAATTTCCTGAAGAACCTTAAAATATCATTCATTACAAGTACTACACATATTTGGTTTTTAAAAGTCTCATAAATCAATAGCAGGCTGACTGTAATAATTATTACAAGTTAGTGCATAATTTTCGTGCTGAAGGCTGCATGCAGAACTTTAGCATATGCAAACGAGGCAATTCAAACTGTGTATAGATATTAATATGAAGAAGCAGGTAACGAGGTGCAGGCTATGAATTATGCATCAGGAGTGGCTGATCTTCAATGAGGAAAATGAATTCAGCATGTAATCTAATTAGTGATGGAAGTCTATTACATCTAACTGCAAAAGCAACCGTCCTTGAAACAAATTTATTTACAGTCCATGTTACCACTTGAAACAACTTTGAAATGATGTGTAAGACAACAGCTTAATTGTAAAATTTTTGTTTGTTTGTTTCAGTTCTAGACCTGGAAGGCCTCCTAAGAGGACCCAGAGTGTCACCTCCCCAGAGAACTCGCATATCATGCCACATTCTGTCCCTGGCCTCATGTCTCCTGGAATAATTCCACCAACAGGTAAGAGTGCTACTTATTTATACCAAAAATATTAAAACTCAGCCAATAGCATAGGATTTATGCGTATCTGTTGTTGCATTCATGTTTCCATGCATCAGTTATATTTTCCACCTCTTAAAACAATGGTACTGGTGACAGTTTATTCCAGAGCTGTATTGTGATTATCATCGTTGCTTTATTGAAAATAAAATGCAAGATGCTTAATTGAACACAGTATTAGAAGTCATTTTAATTAATCCTACCACAACATCAGAAAGCAAGTTATTATCCATTTTCTCTTTAAAGCGTACATGTTTGGTAAGCATCAGTGATATGGCCTTCTCAAGGTCAGACAGCTGGCAGCTCCAGGGCTGGTTATGCAGACTTAGGTCTCAGAATTCCAACCTTAATTCTTATCCCTTGAGAACTCACAAGAGAGGAATGCACCCAGAGAAAAGGCAATAGTCATGTGAGATAGAAATACCTGTTTTTCCTCAAATAAATTTCCATTACAGCCCGTTGAAGGAAAATCACATGATCACACAATGACCACACTATAAAGCACTGTATGTGCACTGCAGGAAAAAATAACTCATTTGATTCCTGCTACCTGCCTGTGTTCATTAATTCTTTTGTTTACTTATACATATTTGATTACTTCCAGTCTGTATCAAGAAATGAGACAGATTCATGGGTAAATTCGAATAATGATGTTATTATGTAACATAATATTTATATTAATTCTTACTCTCATGGAAACTTGTTGAGGAGCTAAATATAAACTGGAAATGCCATATGATACACAATACAATTGATACAATGGAAAGTTGGCAAGTGAAAAGAAAGACAGTTTATATCTGGCTTCTCATATCATTATTATCATTTTCTTTGTAACCTTGCATTTTTCTACATTCTATTACAACCACGGATCATCTGATTTCACAGTCCAAATGTGAACATTTCTTCCATTAGTGTTTCTAACACATCTTTATTTTTGTGTCAATATCTGAAGATTATATTCACTTCAGTGAGTATTTATCAAATATTAATTGAGCTGAGTTTCAAGATCATTGTTCACATGATGTATCTTATAATTTTTTTCATCAATACACCACAGTCTTAGTAGTGAATAATTGAAAAATTTCAAATGTGAACTGCTATGTTAATTTCATGGATGAAAATTTGAGATATAGAATAATGAAATGAATGACTAAAATGACCCAATTCCAAATTAGGTATATTCTTCAATTGTTAAGCTATACATTTGTTTCAAATTATTCAATCCTATTATCTAAAGTTCCAATTCAAAATTGGGAATTTGTGAAATAAATTGACACAATTTTATAAGCTTTGATTGTATATGTTTAATTAAATCATGATATTTCAAATTTAAAAATTTTTAGTTTTGGATACTACATGAGAAAATCTTTTGTGTCACACATGAAAATATTTTTAAAATTATTTTTTTAATCATTGAAAGGAGAGAGTTCTGAATCTTTTACATAATTAAAGTGAACTGTGTTTTGAATTTTTTAATGGCCATGTTAATAGCTATTTTGCATTTGATAAGCTTGTTTTGATTATCAAATGTTACTTAATCAAGTTATCTTAAGGGAAAATATTTTAGATTATATTCATATTAAAATAGGGAAGAGATGGTTCTAAATTGTCTTTCAATATTCAGTTTTTTAAGATTAAGTGTATAAATCATATCAAGAAGGAGCTAAGACGGTGTCATCAAAATCTAAATGCAGCAACTCCTCATAAAATTAATATCAGCAATTAACTTTGGAATAAAGTTTTTAAAGGGAGCAAATTCATGTTTGAAAATCACAAATGAAAATATTAGGTTACTTTAAAAATCTTGCTGAAATATGTTATCCACTTTTCTGAGTAAATAGACACTGGAGATAGTTTCAGCTACACTTGCATTGGTCAGTTATTCTAAAGTAGCATCATTTTATATGCTTCAAATGCCATGCCATCTCCTCAGACCTGTTTTGTGTCTTTATTCTTTCTAATGTATTGAATTCAGAAAACAGTACTTCTGTCAAGCTTTTCAAACATTATACTAAGACTTTTAGAGAATGGTGCAAACATTTGAGGTTAACAGAATACAGCTGTTTCACTTGAATGAAGCTATTTTAACGTATTCGATGTAATTTTCCCTTTTTATTTTTCAGTAATGAGAGTCAAACTTAGGACCTCATGCCTATCAGGCAGGTGCTGTACCACTGAGCTGTATCCTAAGCCCTCATTTTAACTTCTATGTAAGAATTTTCAAGATAGAGAAATTTAGATTTTTAGGAAATTCATAATAATGCCTCCCTACACAAGGGACATCTTATTCACTATCTTGTTGATTAGACATCTAATAGTTATACAAAACTATTTTGGTTTTTTTTCCCCTTTGGTACCAGGAATCAGACTCAATATTTTGTGCTTTCTGGACAAGCACTTGTGCCACTGAACTTTATTCTCAGCCCTAGTAATGAAAATTCTTACAGATCTCATGAACTGTGATATCATTCTCTCAGAAAGTGTTTTCTGTATTGGAGGAATGACATTAGACATAACTACATAGACGTTATATCCTGTGATTTTATGGTTTTCTTTGTATTTTCTACTTTCCTTCAAAAACATACAGTCACTGTTTTCTTCCTAAGATGAAGAAAATCAAGTTTGTTTTTTTGAACTCTATGAAAATACATATTTCTTTCTATAGAAAAAGATATGTTATATATTTTGAAAATAAGCACACTATTTTACTAATATTTCCACCAAGTTTTTAACCTGCAAGGTTGAATTAAAAAAAAATTTCTAAAAGCCTATAGTTATAAGAAGACCTTTAAAAGACACAATTTGATATTTTTAAACTAGCAATAATAAGGAAACCTCAAAATATATAATAAAATGCAAATAACAGTCCTGCTAAATTTCAACTGTAAAATTTGAATTGTAGCTTACTTGTGAATATTGAACTATATATTTGAATTGATAGTAGTTATTACATGTAAAAAAATTAAAAAGATGCAAATTTGCCTTCAAAGTTTGCCCTGTGAAAGGAACAATGATTAATTTTGATTAATTCATAAATATCCACTGATTTGTTTTGGGCCACTTTACTTTTTTTACTATCTGTAGTTGGACATTGGATTTATCTTGCCTGGAAACATAAGTTTTCTCAGAAAAGACTATCTTTCTTTTATAAAAACCATTCTTCAGTTTGAATATTATGTATTTAGATACTTATATTTTAAAAATGTAAGAGGAAGACAGACCAGTGAGGCTGCTTCTGGGGCTTTTGCGTGCCATAGTGCTTGCTTCAGTAGGCCTGTATGTAGCTTTAGAGGGGGCGTGGGCAGATGGTGGTAATTTCCAAAAGTTATGGTTGTCACCAGGTGCCATAGCAACCAGAAGTTGAAGTTAATGAAAGAAAGAAGCCTCTTTGTAGAGTCACACAAGGCAATGCCTCCTGCAGTGGTCACTACATTTATTCTGACTGAGCACTTGTCATAAATCATTTTTGATAATAAACACCAGTTTGGAAAAAATTCATCCTAGCAACAGCATTCCAATAACATTCATTCTTTTTATAGAAATGTGTTTATTGTATAGTTAAGGAAGGGGTATTTATGAATTCAGAATGTTCCCTTCTTATCCTCAAAATGCAATTTAGGTACTGTATGTGGTCAATTTCTTTTTTTCTTATGCTTAGGTCAGAATGCAAAGTCATCTTGAAATACAATTTCTATATCAATATTCAAAGTAATCTACCGAATTGTAAATAATTGCTTTTGACATCAAAAGAAAAGTTAACCTAACTTATTTTCCTTCAGATAAACTCAGATCAAATGAATGATTCATATTTTTGCTTGATGGACATATCTTTTCTCTTATTTGACTTTGTTGATATATAACCAAAAGGCATTTAGAGTAAATAACACAATTGCACATAAATACATGCACAAACACACTCATCCACACACACGCACACACATATGCACAATGCCTAAGAAGAATTTAAACATTGCAAATTTATCATTTTGGAAAGAAATTGGACCATGACAATATTAATCCAGACTTAATCATATTGAAACTTTCCTATTTAAAAAGTTTAAAGGAAAGCATTCTTATATGCATCAATGATACACAAGTATATTGCAAAATTTATGTTCTTTATTTTTCTAGCTAAATATTAGTAACTACCACCAATATCCAAAATACGCCTTTTGTAATATCAACTCTTTCAATATTTTAAGTGCTTTAAACATTCTACTGTCTCAGGAGAAAACTGATAGCCTCATATGTTGAGAAATTTATTGTAAATCTCTTGTATTACAAGGGAAACTTACAAATTAGGATGACTTTTCTTTTGATGTCAATGTTCAATTCACAAGCAAACCCACCACAAATATAATTATCATCTTCACTAATCTTAATAATCTGCTGAATGCCTTTGTCAATGTGTAAATATGACATAAACTATTCAAGTCATTCATCTTTATACACTATGTTATTAATTGGAGTTTTTCATTTACATGTAGAGAAGTTTGAACACTGGACACTTTCAGAGGAGCACATTTAACCTGTTGCTAACATAAATCATATTTCCTTTTGGTTTTTCCGGATGAGAAAGATAAAATAACATTGTTTCTTCTTCCCCTTTATGAAACGCCAACTGAAGAACCAGATTTTATCATGTTTCTTATTAATATTTAAGATTTGTATTGAAAACTACTATTTTTTTGTGTGGCTGTAACAAGCCACAAGCTGCATGACAAAAGCAATTAGGAACTTTTTCTCTCACAATTTTGGAGTTCAGAAGTCCAAAGTCAGTGTTGAAATCGTGGTGTCAGCAGGGCAAGAGGTCTTCTGAGGTCTGTAAGGGAGCATCCATTTTGGGGATTTAAGCTTCTGGAAGTTGCTGTCATTCCTTGTGCTGTCGCTGATTCACTCCACCTTCTCTCAGTCCTTTTTGTGTGTGTGTGTGTGTGTGTGTGTGTGTGTGTGTGTGTATG